TCATGGGTATCGTAGCCCCATATTTCTCTTTCGAATGGTGAAAACCGCACCTCTCTATCTATCACCGTTCCGGAGCTATAAGGTCAACACTGACCGGCCATTCTATTTTGAAATGGATAGTAGTTAGATATGGACAAAGATCATTTAGATCTCGTTTTTGACTGTGTGGTCAATAAATACCGACCACCGAATGCTTTCAGATAGTCCCACTAAATCCACAATTACTGTATTTGCAATATTTGTTTCGACTCTTGTTGCTTTTAAATGTTTTCCAACAGTTACACAAACTCCGCCACTATGATTACTACCTTTTTGGTGGAACGTAACAAAATCAAGTACTTTAAAACTTCTCCAGAGCTCTCCTACTTCCGTGCAAACACAAAAAGACACATCCTTACTGTGAATTAAGTCCACTACCCAGGGACCTGAGTAGGTGCGCGACTATTTCTTGTCCCCAAACATTCCCATTCCCGCAGAATATTATCTGATGTGCTACTAGAATACCACTCCGATAAAAGTTTTGTTATATTATTTAGTGTTTTTTAGGGTATTTTTACATCACTCTTTGTTTAGCAATTTCTTTGTTTAGCAAATGGGTTATTTAGAAAGGAAGGCAAAAACACGTGGGCTAATGGGTTCATTTTACTTCTTACTCAAGTAATTAAGTATTTGTCTTTTCGGCTGATTCTTTTCCATCCTCGACTACCATTACTGATGATGTTGTTACCGGGTTTGGATTCACTTTAACTGGTTTCTGATAATGATGGTGAGTTTATATAGTTTGTTTCATCCGTTACCGTTTCCATGTCAAATTTATAGTTTAGACATAAATTTTCCTCCATGCTAATAAATTTTTTTGCATAATCTTCTGTTTGTTTTAATCATTACTTCTTCATCTTTCGTCACTAACTTTTATTATGGCAGCACCACTTCTCCTATTAGATTAGCCATTGTAGTCAATAACTCAGATGTGACTAATTTATTTAATCTAATATCTTCTTCATTTCTACCAATTGTTGTTTTCTGGTTGTCTAATTTCTTGTTCATCATTTCTAAATTTTATTAATTTCCTTTAACACATCGGCTACTTCATTTTTATCGGTACTGTTATTTCTATCTATTTTTTGTGTATTCCACCTATTTTCAATATGTCTATCCATTTTAATCAATGGTGGAAAAGCATTTACATCATATTGATACTCATTCGATTTCTTTATTTGTTTTAATTGTGTATTATAGTTTAAATCACGATTTCGGATGGTTTATTTAATTCTTGGCGGTGTTTTTGCACCATCGGACAAATTCCATCCAATGAGAAATGATTCCCTCCCCTCCCCCCACTGAGCATATTTAAACTGAACTTCACATTCATTTCTATGATTATTAGTAAACTCGCCTAAACAAACTCGACATTTTGGAAGATGCTTATTACAATTTAATGCTGTATGCTCTAATATATAACATTTTGAACAAAACGTGAGTTTATTTGAGGGTAAATATGAAGTGACAGGTAGTAGACGCTTACCCACTGCTAATTTCCTTAAATTTAATGTTTCATAATACTCCTCCAAATCCTTGACGTTAAACCCATAGTCTGTTGCTGTTCTGACATATGCATATACGATTGGATTACAATCTTGAACACTGGTAATTGACTTCTTAATTTCATTAAAAACGAAATCAGGCGGAAAATTTGTCGGCACACACCGTATTGCTAATGTAAAAAGAGCCGCTATTGATTTTGGTTTAATCACTTTAATATTTTATTGAAAATTGATAATGGCCATTTGTTTGTCATACATAAATTACAGAGATCATTTTTATTGTTTACTCCTATTTTGACTTGTTTACCCGCATAGCTGACCAATGAAAAGTTATTTATATTAACACCATTCTTAATGAAATGTTTGTAAATTTCACTTCCTGCTATAACTGCTGAAGGTAATTCACGAGCCATTAAACTATTATCGAACTGAACATAAAAGCATGGTAGGATTATGCGTTACCGCTCTTTTTAGCTGTTCGAATAGAATTGAATAGTCTTTATTTACGTTGAGCGGTGGTTTCTGAGGAGGACGATATGACTGGTTTTGATATGTCTGTGACGATTGTTTTACAATCAGTGCGGACGACTATTATCCGATCCTTCGTAGAACTGGTCATAATTTTGTCCCTTACTGTTATTGTCCTTAAATCTCGACTTTTTCTGTTGACTAGATTTTCTTTTCTATATACGGCGATCATATAAGCGTAATATGTGTAGAGTGTATAGATGGGCGTTTCCCCCCATTGTCTTTTCTTATAGTATCAAACTTTCTTACTGCCTAAGTAAAAGCCAATACTATTCTCTTTTCTTTTTTCATCTCACTGCGCACAAATGATGTAGTTATGCACGTGTTCTCTCACACTCATTCAGTGAATAACATCAATATCAGAGCCTCACAGAACGGTAAAAGGATATATCATACAAGCAAATACAATGACGTCAAATACAAACTCCACATCCTTGAGGATTTCAAGGGGTAAGGTACCTGTATTTTATGTATTTCGACCAGATTTAAGTTAGTCTTCGTCGATTGCATTTGAAAATACAATCATGCCCTTGGGTTTTTTGAAAACTTCTAGTCAGTTCTGCATGTATGACCAGGTTTGGCAAAAAATACCTCTTAACTTTGAAAGTTTTTCCAGATATAATCATAGAGTCTGACCTTTTGTGTGAAATGTGGCACATCGCTTAAAAATATGTGCACATTGATGTTACATGAAAATAGTACCGACATAAACAACTTCCTCTTTTCCATCGCTCAATTTGATAGATCCTAATATAGAGCATATTGCTCATTCTTCGTCTCCTTTCCATAAAAATCTTCTCAATATCGAATTTTTTGAAAAATCTCGGTAAAGAGCAAGGCTTATCAAACATTCACATGGAAAAGAATTTGAACTTGTTTTACGTCTAATCTAAACCTTTGAAAAATTTCCGAACAGAGTTTTTCGGCAGCTCAAAATTCGAGCAATTAAATTTCTAAAAATGTACCTTTGTTCAGTGTCTTTAAAAACAAATGTCAAACTTCGATATGTTTTCAACTAGTTATGGGTTCTAAACGCCCAAGAACTAATCGAGCACAGGTGTCACAGTCCTCAATCGTGGAGTTTTGTTCTGAGTATTTATGTCACCTGACTTATCACTGTCTCAAACAGAAACAAATATTTGCAATTGGCATTCAGTTAATGCGTATGCCTATAATTTCTGCGATAAATTAATATGAATCCTTTCCGTCTAATAAGTCACAAAATGCTTTTGAACAGACAATCGTCCATAAAACGCTTTTGTCGTTAGCAAGCCCTCTCATACTGTAAATATTCTCAGGTTCAAAAGCTACACAGACAACATCGATGAACTGCAGCACCCTGATCAACACATAAAGATGAAGTGAGTATCGAGAATTTTTATTTAGATGCTAACAGATCTCCGTTTAAAGTTAGGATACTGAATAAGCCATCCATAAAGTCTTTGTAGACTATCATGAAACCACTGGCCTTTTACTAATATCCAAAATTATGACCGAGCATTAATAGTAGAGTTTATGGTTGCAGTAACCACCCGGATTATTCTCCAGATATCTCTGATGTGCGGGTTCACCCTTGTAGAACTGCAGTCCATCAGCGGGTTGAATTTGAGTAACAATTTGTCCTTTGACTTTGCCACTGGCCTGCACTTGATTACGCACTTCCTCGGCAATTGTCTGCTGTTCATTGGTGTGAGTGAAGATCACAGATCGATATTGAGTACCTCGGTCGTTTCCTTGTTTGTTCAAAGTCGTTGGATCATGTATGCGGAAGAAGAAATGAACTAAATCCTTGTATTGAAGTTTGTTGGGGTCGAAGGACACTTGCAACACTTCAGCATCATTTGTCGTCCCAGTGCACACCTCTTCATAGTGGGCTTTTGAGGAGCCACCCATATATCCGACAAAGCCTGAAATCAACTTTGTTCCGAACTGCTTGCGAAAGAATTTCTCCGTGCCCCAGAAACAACCAGCACCGACGGTAGCAAACTCTATATCGCCGTTGTTCGCTGATGCCGTATCTTCGTCTTCTTGTTTTGGTTGTTGTAATACAGAGCCCATCAGAGGCAAATGAAATATGAATAGCGTTATGCAACCAACACAGACGCGTAGAATGTGCATATAACCATATAGAATGCGTATATAACCGTCATTTTTTTCCGTCGTTCTTTCTTTTCTGCCTTTGTCTTGTTGAGGAGACATGAATAAAAAGTGAATGAATCTGCTGATTACTGCAGCATTCTTTTCTTTTCTCTTCATGAGAGTGCATGTTTGGCTTGTGAGGGACATGAAGAAAAGGAGACGAAATCGACTGCTTACTCTGCATGGTGCACGTTTACCGTATATCGGAGACCAAGAAAATTTGGGATACATTCTGTTTTTTTTCACAGAATCTAGAGTATAAGGAGCCGACAGGAATGGAATATGGTACACTCTAAAGACGTCTAGAACTCAGCTTGCTGACGGACGAATGATTAGCAACTCCAAAATCATGTGAAATCTGTCACATTTCAAAACAAAACTTGGTAAATACGATTCGGATTGAACAGAAGAGGAAGAAGGTTCTTCTTTCTACTAAGAGAGAAATTGACTCTCAAAATGAGCTCGTACAGCGAGAAACTACGGTAGTATTTTCACAGAAAGTGTTTGCTCGATGTACTCTTTTTTGCAGCACGTTTTCAGAGATCTCAGCTGTCTTATCGCGTGAAAAAACCTGTTTTCCAACAGAATTTAATATGTATATAGTGTGATATTGAAGTCCATAAAACGTATGGGTTTCTGAAATTTGTATCACTATCGGTATATGATGTGCCTGTGCAAACGTAAAGAAGAGAAAAACGATCAAGAAAAACTCCTTTACTGATAAGATGTGTGTGTTATACATTGGAAGGAAAGATAAAAGAACCCTGGATAAAACTTTTGTAAAGTAGAAGAAAGAAAAAGGACAAGAAAATGTTCTTCGATTACATGTGCATATATCCGTGTATCTATCTATTCAGTTTAAAGTTTTATCGCTTGTGTTACGTCTGATACTAAATGGAGTCTATCTACTGTACTTAAATGGAGGACGAAACGCGTTTGTATATGGTCATTTTCTGTGTACTCACAAATTGTGTTCGGTTGTATGAAAATGATGCCGAATAGGTAGCCGAGTATAGAGAACTGAGTGTGGATTTCGGAGTTATTGGAGCTGTTCATAAACTTCAAGGATTTCTATGGATTTCTAGTTGTCATTTGAATGAAAAGCTACGTAGGTGAGATATCTGTTGCCTGGGAACCTTCAGTGACTTCTCAGAAAACCTTTTACAGTACGAAAACATATTCATGTTGAAAAATTATCGAGATTTTTAACAAAAAATAAAAAACAAGGATAAATTTCGAGATACACATTACTCGGCTCAGTTTTCGATCCTGATTCTGAATATGATATTTTTATTGCATAAAAGTTGAAGTTCTGATGAAGAAAAGGACGGGAAACGGTTTCTGCTAGAAAATCGCCCAATATGATTTTGAGTGGAAATGATCAGAAATGCTTCCATTTTCACTTCCAAACACTTCCCATTTACAAAAAATCCTTCTGGTGTCTTTGAAAAAAAAATTACGTTTCATTTTTCGCCACCAGTTCAACAAAAGCCATTTACCTTTTCCCGCAAAGTTCTCGTCCAATTTCAAAGTCCTTGAGCAAAGCGCATACATAGTAAAATAGAGAATTTTCTGGGCTTCAAAATAAGCTATAAACGCGGTTTTCAAAAATATGTCCATACCGGATAATTGTCGAAATACTTGGTCGATATCATCAAGCTCATCTATCTTAGTGCCTTAAAGGAATATTTCTTGAACTCATCTCCTCAGACCCGGAACGTTTTATATATAGCAAGTTAGAGAATTTTCCAGGCTTCAAGATAAGCTATAAATAAGTGTTTCAAAAATATGCCCATACAGGACAATTGTCGAAATACTTGGCCGATATCATCATTTTCACCAATCTTAGTGCTTTAAACACTCCTTTAGTCATTTTTGTGCCATAATGAAAAATTACATATTGTTCAAAAACATACCATTGGATAGCCCTTGCAATTCTCTACAAAGCGAGCTGGTCAGAATATCCAGACAGGTGTTGTCAGTCATTAAAGATGTGTAAAAGAAGCGTTTAGGTGTTATCTATGCAGTACAGTGTGTCATAATCACAAGTACTCCTTTGTTTTTTATTTTTCAGTAAAAGCTGGAACCAATCTGAATACTGTTTTGAATAGGCCGAAGATTTTTCTATCAGATGAGGTGCATATCACCGTTTCATGGGAAAAGTTGATAATAGGGTTTCTAGAAAACCTGACCGCTAGAAAACCAAGACCTTGATTTTTGGTCACAAAATTTTGCGAATCATATGGCGTGATAGAGCAAAGAATTCTGAGGAAAATATGATATCTTCCGGCGGTCTGCAACGCTTTTTCACCGGAATGTTTCGGTAATTTT